TAACATGGATACACAACGCTCTAACTGTCATGGCTTTTTTGTCTTAAATACTCTCCGCTCATAAAGAAAAACTGTAAAAATATTTAATTATAACTAATTAAAAGATCTCTTCAGGGACTGGACTTGGAAGGGTGTACAGGTATGAGGGGATGGAGGTGGGTGGGGATTCGTCTGTGGTCCTTATCTGAGAAGCTGTGTGGATTTGGGGGGGACTGAAAAGGGGTCGAAGGGTCACGTTACATCCAGCGAGGCTTTCACCGCGAAGACGGGGTGGTGTTGCCATTTAAAGAAAACCTAAAAGAACGACATGAAGCAGCAGGTCAGAATAACATAAGTGTGTATTTGCTGTTTAATATTAAACAGCCCGGCTGAGACGGCGGTGCATCACCTGCACACTCTCTCCATCACATGTGTAACGAGACGGTCAGAGATGCCCGGACAGGACTCCTCTGCCAGGTTGAAGGCATTCTCCAGTTCCTCAATGGCTCCTACTCCGCCGCCACTTGCCCGCCGCTTCTCCTTCAACTGGTGGTAAAGGAAAAATCAAACAGGAACAATTCAGTATGCCGTGCAGTGAGAAACGTAAACAAAAGAAGAAAAAAACGTCCTTCTGTTTAGAGTAAATATAAGGAAACAGGTTATGTGGGCGCAAGCTTTTTATTAATATCATAACAAGGCCCACTTCACTCTTACCTGTTAATGGTAAAAAACAAGGCAGAGATTCACGGCATCATGATGTTGGCCCTTTGTCTAAATCAGATTTAGCAACCTGTGGCTCACGTTAGCCACAGGTTACAATTACTATATATATATTGATTTATCCTCTCCCAATTTCATCCACCTGTTCGTGCCCCGTTACCCACGTGTGCTTCTTTTTGTTTATCTAACTGTTTGCTAGCAGGAGCTAAAATGCCTCTTGATGCTGAAGGTTGACGACGCCCAGTCTAAATGAATCTAAACGCTGCTGTCGGCTGCTTAATTGCCACAAGGGGTCGCCACACTAGGTAATGCTGCGTGTTTGATTTGGCAGTCTTACATCGGATGCCCTTGTTTTTGGACCCCAGTGACCTTTCAATTGTCAAGCAAATATTCCGACTACTACATTTTGTCTAAATGAATCTGATATTGTATAAAAAGCAACAGTATGGCCTACCTCTCTGAAGGTGGGTGTTACCAAAGCAGACAAGCACTGTGACTTTGGTTGCCTTTTCACAGAATCTCCTGACTGCAAAGAGAAAACAGAGCGTAAGAAGAAAGGAAAAAAGATTCGACCTGGTGTTTCCGTCTCTCTGCTCAGTCTGCCTTACCTCTGAATCTGTGTGCGTGTAGCCCTTCTGTAACTTGTTCATAGAAGTGGGCCTGACTGTGGGGAAGGTCCACATGGGACACTGATCTACATCACCATCAGCATCCCTGAAAGAAGCGG